ACAACCAAAACATAACATAAGAAAGTAAGAAAGTTTATGGATAACAACTTCTTTATTATATATGATGCGACGTTTCGGTATGGATTCTTATACCGTTGTCAAGCAAGAGTGAAGTACTACAGCACAGAACAGACTTATATACATGAACAGGGATTAAGTAATACATAACATAACATACATATAATGCGGTCTTCTACAAAAATACCGTTAAAACAGAATGTATTCACATATCTGGAAGCCAAGAGCTAATGTTTTCCTGTATTCCATGTGCTGGGATTGGGATGTTTTCTAACCCACCGGGGACAGGACAGGTAGGCCATGTCGACGCAAGTTGGGGGCCTTTTCAGGAATGTGTCTGTTTACATGCGAGCCATTTGGGTGACGTCACAAGTAGCACACCTTTGATCAGCGGAGCGTATCGAGGCAGTGTTCACATTGAGAATGCAATTGATGTCTTCTATGTGACCAGCAGTTTTGTGCGGGATAAACTTACGCTATCAAATGACATTGAAAGCAAACCAGGCCCTCTTACCGTGAAGGATTTAAATGATGTAAAGTCAGCAATACTGGATGAATTAAAAGACTTCAGAAGTTCCATGAAAACTGAAGTAGATTCAATTAAAATTCAGCTAAATGAGGTGCACACAAAATGGATCAGTTGGACAGTGCTGTGAAACTTATTGGTGATGATGTGAACATAATTGAGCACCAGCAGGAAATGTTTACAGTGACATTGATGCAATCACATCCAGACTGGAATCAGTGGAATGCAAGTTAGAAAAGCAGGCCGAGGACCTAGACAAGCTTGAGGCACACAGCCGTAGAGATAATGTGGTGTTTTATAATATAAAGGAAAGTGAGCATGAATCCTATGATTCTTGTAAAGATCTTGTTATAGATACCTTAAACAAGCACACTCAAGACCGCACTTGGCGACGATCAGACATTATAAGGGCCGCATCGCATAGGAAGACACGATAGCACTCGTCGGCCATGGCCACTGATCGCGAGGTTCACGTTGACAGAGGATAAAGTGTCAGTGCTAAATCAGAGGTCTAGATTCCAGAGTTCACAGACTGGACTATCAAATGACCTGACTAAACGTCAACGTAATATTCTGACTGAGCAAAGGGACAAGGGACTTATTGCATACTTTAAGAACGGGCGTCTCATCACTAAACCCAGAGTACCACACTCTGAAGTAGCCAGTGCGGAATCAGATAATACTGTTCAGCTGAACAGGACTGTTACTGTGGACAAATCAAATGCAGAGGGTAATCAACCAAACATCGGGAACAAGACCTTTGCGCATATATATAATTTTACGGGCTCTTCGACACCCAACGCAAACGTACGATCACGTAAGGGACGTAATTCATCGCAATAGGAATGCGGCCGGGCTTCATCGCGAACTTCGAGCTGTGAGAATGTGAATGTTCCACTTGACTCTGATTTAGCCAGTCAACATTCTTCTCGTCAATCCGCGACGTTCTCGACTCTTACTTGGAATATTGACGGCCTGTTAAGTAAACTTGTTGACAGTGACTTTATGCGTTATCTACTACAGTTTGATGTCATCTGCCTGTAAGAGACATTTGCTGATAAGTGTATTGACATACCTGAACTCTGTGACTTTGAAGTTTATTTTTGTACTGCCATAAAACTAGCTAAATATGGCAGACTTTCGGGAGGTATTTATGTATTTATAAGAAAAACATTTCTGAAATTCTGTTCGAGGGTTCCTATTGATATTGATAACGCAGTTTGTATCCGATTAGATAAGCGACTTATAGACACAGATCGTGATGTTTTACTTGTTGTAGCATACGCTCCCCAAGAGGGATCTTCTTACTATAAAGTCACAGGAAACGCTACTCTGTTCGAGAACAGTGGTTATTAGATAATTCAGATTATCTTACTGATTGCTATATACTTCTGTGTGGAGATTTAAATGCTCGGGTTGGGACTGGAATTCAGCATCCAGATATGCAGAGTGAAAACTTTTATGACTATTGTCCCGAGGATGAAGCGGTCCCTGTAAATGCTAGATTTACAAATGACACTTGTGTAAATAGACTTGGGAAATTTCTGTTAAATTTGTGTTACGTTTTTAACTTGTATATCATAAACGGCCAGGTGGAAGGAGATACTGGAGGAATGTTTACTTATATTTCCGAAGAGGGTTGTAGTCTAATTGATTACGTTATATCATCACCTGGACTATTTAAGTATTTCTCGAACTTCGATGTAGGAGATAGAATAGAGAGTAAACACATGCCTTTGATCCTTAGATTCACTGGTCCAGGTGAAACACTGGTAACTAAAGACGTGAGTGCAAGTACATTCAAGTATAGATGGAATAATGATCACGCTAGCACTTTCATTGAAAATGTATCAAATATAGGTTTCCATTTCGAGAATTTCATAAATGTCTTAGAGAAGGATGTAGATTTAGCTTTTGACTCATTTGTAAGAATTTTACTTGATGCTGCAGACTGTATGCAAAAGAGAGTGCCTGTTATTCCGAAAGTATTCACCTTTTATGGACCAGAGTGTCATAAGGCAAAAGAAGAAGCTAAACGTAGTTTACGTATATTTAGACGAAACAGAACTTCAGTGTGTAAAACTCAATATTGTAGACTTAGAAATAAATATAAAGGTTTATGTAGACAGTGGAAACGTAAATACCAATACCACAAAACAAATAAACTATATCTTGCAAGGAACAATTCCACTGTATTCTGGAGGGAGCTGAGAAAGATTTAAAAGCTAAAATCCCATACGAATGATATAACTAAAGAAAGATGGTACGATAATTTTTATGAACTTTTCAGTAGGAGAGATATAACTGAACCAGATGTACTGCTCAATTTAGACCGATCTGTAGAAATGAGTGAAGTTGATAAGGGATACTTGAATCCATTATAACTGAGGAAGAAATTCACAAGGCTATACGGCATATGAAAAATGGTAAATCTCCAGGAATTGATAACGTCCTTATAGAAATGATTAAAACAAGCGAAAAAAAGGTGATGTAAATATTCCCGATAATTACCGGGGGGATATCTATACTCAGCTCACTCGGGAACATATATACTAGTGTTTTAAATGAAAGACTAACAAAATGGGAAAATGTTATGGATAAAGTTTCTGAAACTCAAGCTGGTTTTCGGGAGGGCTATTCAGTTGTTGACCATATCTTCACATTGTATGCTATCATCTATAAAAAAAACTATGTAGAAGAAGGGAAAAGATATACGTTGCTTTCATTGACTTTAAAAAAGCTTTTGATTTTGTGAATAAAGATAAACTCTGGAAATTACTTTCATCATACGGCGTAAACGGTAAAATGTTACAAGCTCTTATGAGCATATATAACACAGTGAAATCGTGTGTCAGAGTACAGTCCGAGCTAACGGAACATTTTAATTGTCCATTTGGTTTGCGACAGGGCTGTATGTTGAGTCCAATGTTATTCTCATTGTGTATAAATGAACTTTCTGTAGAAATCACAAATTATGGTAAGCATGGGGGTCCAATTTTTTCCAGATGTACTTTAAATTCAAATGTTGTTGTTTGCGGATGAGGTAATTCTTGTGTCAGATACTATTGGTGGTCTTCAGTGACAGCTAGACTTTTTAAAATCGTATGCAGATAAGTGGGGATTAACTGTAAATTTAGATAAATCTAAAGTTCTTGTTTTTAGGAGAGGTGGGAAATTAGCGGTAAAGGAAAACTGGCTTTATAATGGGAGAAACATTGAAACAGCTACAAACATCTAGGTATTGTGTTCACGTGTAATTGTAGTCTCAGGCAAGCTGTCTCAGAACTTGCAGCTCGTAGTAAGAAGGCTTTAATGGAATTAACTAAATATTTAAGGAAATTAGAACCAATACCTTTGGATGTATTTTTTTAAATATTTGACAGCAAAATTCAGCCAATATACTTGTATGGGTCAGAAGTTTGGGGGGTTAAAAGATACGATAGCATTGAAAAAGTTCACTTACAAGCATGTAAGATATTTTTAAATGTCGGTCCACAGACAGCAAATGCAATAGTATATTGAGAGTGTGGACGGTTTCCAGTTTATATTAATTCCTACGTTCAAACGATGAAATATTGGCTTAAGTTAATGACAATGCATGATGGACCAATTTTCCGAAAAAGGCATATAATATGTTATACTACCTAGATACTGCTGGGTACCACACATGGACGTCTGAGATCCGCCATATACTTTGCTCACATGGCTTTGGATTTGTCTGGTTTTCACAAACTGTCGGTGATCCGTGCGCTTTTATTCATAAGAATGTAAGATTGTTTATTCACATTTTTAAAGAACGCTTGATCAATATGTTTTGACATCTTCTCTAGAAAACGTTATACGTTATATGCAAAATATAAGAGTCTTCTTGAGCCTGAGGGGTATCTGTCTTCAAATTTGGAATATAAATTCCGTAAAGTATTGGTCAAATTCAGAGCTGGTGTCTTACGTTTAAAGAATAACGTAGGTAGGTGGCATAATATTGATGTATCTCAAATAAATTGTCCTGCATGTAAAGTAGATTTAGAAGATTAATCACTTTTTTTGAATTGTCCAGCTTATCAAGATCTTCGGGATAGATTTTGCCTAAGAATTTGCAAGTAAATATAATATCGTTTAGAAATATCCTTAAACAAAGCAAAACTGAAGACATAAATAATCTAGCTCATTTTATCTATTATGCATACAAAATAAGAGAAAAGTTAGAAAAATAGAAATAGATATTAAAATTATTGAACAAAATCCATTTCAGCTATAAATGTACATATATATGTTACTGGTATTTTTCACTAGGGGTGTAAGAAAATCTACTCAGGTAGACAGGTAAATGCTAAATCTTTTAAGAAATTGTTTCCTGTTTTCATACCTGTTTCGAATATGTATATTAATATGTATATGGGTCTGTGGCCTTCATACGTAATAAAGATTTTGATGATGATCATGATGTGTACCCCAGGTACCCAGTGTTCCGACTGCCCGCCATCCGGCTGGGGATGTGGGGCCACGGCCTGCTTCTACATCTACACATGCCACAACAGCTTCTCGGGGGCCACACAGGCGTGTACACAGCAAGGACTGACGCTTGCATCGGTTGCTTCTAATCAGGAGCGGCAGTTTCTGAGGGATGTCATCGACAGTGTGTATGTACAGGTTGTATAGGCAGTTTCTGAGGGATGTCATCGACAGTGTGTATGTACAGGTTGTATAGGCAGTTTCTGTGGGATAACATCGACAGTGTGTATGTACAGATTGTATAGGGAGTTTCTGTGGGATGTCATCGACAGTGTGTATGTACAGGACAGTTGTATAGGGGCAGTTTCTGTGGGATGTCATCGACAGTGTGTATGTACAGGTTGTATAGGAGTTTCTGTGGGAATGTAACATCGACAGTGTGTATGTACAGGTTGTATAGGTATGTACAGGTTGTAGTTTCTGTGGGATGTCATCGACAGTGTGTATGTACAGGTTGTATAGGGAGTTTCTGTGGGATGTCATCGACAGTGTGTATGTACAGATTGTATAGGGGAGTTTCTGTGGGATGTCATCGACAGTGTATATGTACAGGTTGTATAGGAGTTTCTGTGGGATGTCATCGACAGTGTGTATGTACAGGTTGTATAGGCAGTTTCTGTGGATAACATCGACAGTGTGTATGTACAGGTTGTATAGGGAGTTTCTGTGGGATGTCATCGACAGTGTGTATGTACAGGTTGTATAGATAACATCGACAGTTTATGTACAGGGATAGGATCGACAGTGTGTATGTACAGGTTGTATAGGCAGTTTCTGTGGATGTCATCGACAGTGTGTATGTACAGATTGTATAGGGAGTTTCTGTGGGATAACATCGACAGTGTGTATGTACAGGTTGTATAGGGAGTTTCTGTGGGATGTCATCGACAGTGTGTATGTACAGGTTGTATAGGGAGTTTCTGTGGGATGTCATCGACAGTGTGTATGTACAGGTTGTATAGGGAGTTTCTGTGGGATGTCATCGACAGTGTGTATGTACAGGTTGTATAGGGAGTTTCTGTGGGATAACATCGACAGTGTGTATGTACAGGTTGTATAGGGAGTTTCTGTGGGATGTAATCGACATGTCATCGACAGTGTGTATGTACAGGTTGTATAGGCAGTTTCTGTGGGATGTCATCGACAGTGTGTATGTACAGGTTGTATAGGGAGTTTCTGTGGGATAACATCGACAGTGTGTATGTACAGGTTGTATAGGGAGTTTCTGTGGGATGTCATCGACAGTGTGTATGTACAGGTTGTATAGGCAGTTTCTGTGGGATGTCTGTGGGATAACATCGACAGTGTGTATGTACAGATTGTATAGGGAGTTTCTGTGGGATGTCATCGACAGTGTGTATGTACAGGTTGTATAGGGAGTTTCTGTGGGATAACATCGACAGTGTGTATGTACAGGTTGTATAGGGAGTTTCTGTGGGATAACATCGACAGTGTGTATGTACAGATTGTATAGGGAGTTTCTGTGGGATGTCATCGACAGTGTGTATGTACAGGTTGTATAGGCAGTTTCTGTGGGATAACATCGATAGAGTGCATGCAGATATTTTTCGGGATTTTCTTTGGGGTGTCATCGATAGATCGTATGCGCAGATTGTACATGAAATGTGTTTACATACTATATTCGACAACCTTCTTCGCCAAGACGACGTTCTTTTGTGGTCACTGTAATGTAGCTAGTTTCGGCGAAAACCACCATTTATTCAGCTACCTTGTGTCGTTGCAGGGCCCCTTCCGACAACCTGTTCTGGCTGGGAGGTATGCGAGAGACCATCTCT